AAATAGAAAAGCGGATAATTGAAGCTAAAAAAGTAATAGGATGCCTAAATGGAATCTTATGTAGCAAGGAAATAAGAAAGAAGAGAAAATTCAATATATACGAGGAGACAATTATAAAGAGCAGCCTTGTAGGTAGAAGCAGATGAAATAGATGCTATTAGAAGATCCATGTATTAAATTTGTTATTCACTTTGTGGAAATAAAGCGTGGCGTGGTTTCCTTTCGGATAATCTGCAAAACGACTGACCAAACGGACTAAACTTTTATTAAAAAATTGACAGACTCAATACATGACATGATTTTTCTAACAATGGTAATACCAACTATTTATATAGCAACTGTACATTTTGTTTGATACCCACAGAACATGTGATACCTGAACATTAACAAATACTAACACCCCCACTTATCAACAAAATTCAAGTATTCATCAAACCAAGTAAATGTATCAGCCTGAAATGCTTTTCAGAAAGGAGGCCCTTCGTCAAAACATCTGCTGGCATAAAATCAGTGGATAAATATTTCATCTGTATGACCTTATTTAATATTGTTTCTCTTATAAAATGATGACGCACATCTATATGTTTTGTTCTTCTATGATACATAGCATTGCTCGTCAAATTTATTGCACTTTGGTTGTCATTAAATAAAGTCACACAAGGTACACTTCCTATCAGTTCTTCCAATAATCCCTTTAAATATAATGCCTCCTTGGTTGCCTCCGAGATTGACATGTATTCAGCCTCAGTACTCGACAGTGCAACTGTCTTTTGCTTTGAGCTCAACCAGGAAATCCTGTGTAGGACTTACGATCAACAGCATTACTCGCCCAATCAGCGTCTACAAAACCCTGTAGTTCTGAGTCGTCTTTGGAATATTTCAATGAATAGTTAATAGTACCTTTTAAGTACCGTAGAATACGCTTTGCACATTTCCAATGACTTTCGTTGCATGAATTATTGAATTGGCTGAGAAAACTGACAGAAAAAGAAATATCTGGCCTTGTCAATACAGATAAATACATTAAACTACCAATTAATTTCTGATAAGGATACTTAGCTTTATCCTCATTAGAACAGCTTTCGTCCAAATTTAAATTTAATTTAGCCTCCATTGGAGTCTTGACTGTTTTGGCATCCAGCATATCAAATTTCTTCAATATACGCATAATATAATCTTTTTGACTTAAAATGATTACACTCTTTGTTTCATCAAAATTAATTTGCATGCCCAAACATTCTCTGATTTCACCCAAATCTTTAATTTTAAATTTGGAATTTAGCTAGATCTTTAAATTACTTGCTTCTATTTTATTATTAGAGAAAATAAAAAAATCGTCTACATACAAAGCAATTATTGTCATATATAGCCTTTTTTAGTTTTAACCATTTATCATTATCAGAACAAACAAGCCCTTCAGGCATTTGCATATAAACATTTTCTTTCAGAAAACCGTTTAGGAACGCTGTTTGCACATCAAGATGATCAATACTCAAACCGAGCTTTACTGATAATGAAAAAAGTAATCTTAGACTGGAATGCCTCACAACAGGAGCAAAAGTTTCCTCATAATCTACTTCTTGTTTTTGAGAGAAACCTTTAGCTACTAATCTGGCTCTATACCTCACTAAACCTTCACAATTGACTTTCTTTTTGAACACCCACTTACATTTCACTATCGAAGCACTTTTTGGCCACTCAGCTATTTCCCAAGCATCATTTGCGTCAAAACTGTCCAGTTCTTCTGACATTGCTTTTTTCCACATTTCTGCATCTGGTCTGGACATAGCTTCTTCAACTGTGAGAGGGTCTTCTTGAAAGTCATTTTCTACACACATGTAAGTCACAAAATCATCCATTCGTTTAGGTTTTGGTACTCTTTGTGAACTTCTCCTTTTTTCTTCAGTCACATTTTTTGTTTTAGAAACAAATTCTTCATCGGTAGAATTTTCTGATGAACTTATTTTGGTATTAGTACAATCCAAAAAATCATTCTCAGTGTCAGAATCAGGATTTTTAACTTCTTGTTCAATGTTCGAATTTTCTGCAGCACTAACATCTGAACCCCCCACTGAAGCTGCTACTTCATTGGTATCTTCTATAAGAATATCAACTTCATCATTGATGTCTTCCATTATTTCAACATCTCTACATGTGATTATGTTGTTGATATTTGGATCATAGAGACGATATCCTTTGCTGCATTCACTGTACCCAACTAAAATGGTCTTTTTAGATTTTTTGTCCCATTTTAATCTATTGGTTTTTGGAATATGGGTCATTACTTTGCTACCAAAAATTCGAACGTGGCTTATATCTGGCTTCCTTCCATGCCAAATCTCGAAAGGAGTTTTATTATCGACAATTCCTGAAACTGTACTTCTATTTCTCAGGTAAGTTGCCGTGTTTACTGCTTCTGCCCAGAATCTTTTGTCTAATTTTGCATCAAACAACATACAGCGAGCTCGTTCAACAATGGTTCTATTTAGGCGTTCAGCTGAACCATTCTGCTCTGGTGTATGTGGAATTGACTTTTGATGCAAAATACCTGTTTGTTTCAAGAAGTATTCAAAATTATGTCCACAATATTCACCACCATTATCACTTCTTAAAATTTTAATTTTTTTTTCTGTCTGGTTCTCAACTAAATTTTTGAATTGCCTAAAATAATTGAAAACTTCATCTTTGGTCTGCAAAAAATAAACAAATGCCATCTTGCTAAAATCATCAATAAAAGTAAGAAAATATCTAGCTCCACCGAGAGATTTAATTTCCATGGGTCCACACAGATCAGTGTGTATCACTTCTAGTATTCTACTAGCCCTTGAGCCCTTACTTGGAAAAAATAATCTACATTGCTGACCCTCATTGCAAGTTTCACAATTATGCTTATTTACATTTATGTTGCCTTTACAGACCATTCCATCAACTGCTTCATTTGACATTTTCTGTAGCTCCTGCTCATTCAAATGTCCTAATCTACGATGCCAAACTCTACCTGGTGCTTTCGCAACAACTGTCTTGATTTTCACATATCCTCCATACTCCACAGTTATTGTCGATTGGTCGGCTATACAAATTTCACTCGGGCTTTTAACACTTTTCAAATCCACTAACCAGTCCTTGTTTGTTGTTAAGTGGACACTAGCCCCTGAATCCAAATACCATTCATCTTTTTTGAAATTATGTCCGCCCAAAAATATTGCACTGAATACGGAATTTCCAATTTTTGACTTCAAATGCGGACATTCGCTCTTGTAGTGCCCCATTTGCTTACAATTATAACATTGAATTGTTTTGATTGAACTGTCATGCGAACTTGATTGTGACAGTAACTGGTTTGACCGCGGGTTTGACATATTCCTGCCACTTTTGCCAAACTTCTGCTTTCCTTTGGAAACAAATTTGCCGATTAATGCATTACCTGTATTATCATCAGCTTCCATTTCTAGCAATTTAGTCTTTATGGCATCAGCTGTAATTTGGATTCCACTATGTTCGATAGCCATAATCATTGGGTGATATTTATCTGGAAGACCCGCTAGGAGCAACGATCCAATCCATTCATCATCAATTTTGAATCCTGTCCCCATTAGCCTCTGTGATGTATCAATAACATGATTAACATATGCCTCCATGTTGTCCATGTTTTCCAATCGCGCCGAAATCAGCGATCTCAACAATGATATCCTTCTCGCAAATCCAGCATCATCATAGAGCTTTTTTAATTTATCCCAAAGCTCTTTTGCGGTCAAGGTATCCTTTATGTGGATGAATAAGGTAGAATCGATTGTCAAAATCAATTTTGCTCTAGCTTGTACCACTTTTGCGTCGTCCGATTCTGTTCCCTCAATGCATTTTTTCAAACCATCGAGAATCAGGAAATTCTCAGCAGCGAACGACCATTCTGCATAGTTTTGACGACCGCGTAACTTGGGAACATTTGCTATAAAACTGCCCGTAGCCATTTTGCACCCGAATTACCACTCTGGGACCGTAACCTATTAAATTTGTAATTCACTTTGTGGAAATAAAGCGTGGGGTGGTTTCCTTTCGGATAATCTGCAAAACGACTGACCAAACGGACTAAACTTTTATTAACAAATTGACAGATTCAATACATGACATGATTTTTCTAACAATGGTAATACCAACTATTTATATAGCAACTGTACATTTTGTTTGATACCCACAGAACATGTGATACCTGAACATTAACAAATACTAACACCATGCGAATCTCTTGAAGAGACAGAATAAGGAATGACCATATAAAACAACAAATGAGCATGGAAGGCACAATAGTTCAGGACATTGAAAGGAAACAACTCATCTGGTACAGACACGTAGAACGAATGGTAAATACCAGTTAGCCCAGAAAAATGCTGCATTGGCAACTAACAGGTAGAAGAAAACGTGAAAGACCGAAACTGGAATAGCAGAAGACCATACAAAAGTCAATGAGTGAAAGATATCTCTCATCAAAGGATTGCGACGATAGAAGAGGATGGAACTTAGGTGATTTCGTCAAGGCAGGATTATATGTGTCGCCCTCTGAAAACTACCGAAATACCACCTCAAGCTCACAACCGCTGAACATAGCTAGACATCATTTTGGGCAATCCTTTATAGTTACAGATACAAGTTTCCACCAATGAACAAATGAGTACACGCCTTTACTCAATTTATGGATTAATTCGTTTATACTCTAGGTACATGGAAAACAGCAATAACTTTTCCCTGCCAGTTAAGCCGAAGTTTATTTTGAACGCAATCAAAAACCGATTTATCCAAATCTTGGAGATTTCGTGGCGAGCGCGAGGGGTAAATTCCGTTTTGGTGTATCAACGGAAATCCGCTCGCGCATTAAAGTATTTGTATTTTTCATATTTATGGTAATTTGTCCGGAACGGTGCGGAAAATAAATGATTTATGTGCACATTTACATATGCAGGAGGTAGTTGTTTTAGGCTTTCTATTTTATCATATAAAATGTTTACCTGTATTCAGGTGAAGGACAAGCCTGTGCAATACATATAAGTGCTGCGCCCTCGTCCTGTGCCACTGTAACTGTTCCAGAACTTTCAACAATCACCGGTGCGGCGATGCCTCTGTGATCTGCAAACAAAAAATTAAATTCAACTCTTTAGTATAGGCGGCCAGTGACCGTAAAAAAAATCAGTAGAGAATAAAAAGCAAATGTCTCCACGGCCGTTTTCATTTTTAAGTAGTATTCCCCGGGGCTGAACAAAGTAAAAGTGCGAGGAGGGCATGGAGGGACTATTTTCATTCGGAGACCGGGGAAGCCTTCCGGGGAACGTTTTTCACAATATAAAGCAGATTTTTGCTTTTTCCTTCTGTCGTCAGAAAGAGAGAAGGCGAGATCCTTTCGCGACGAGCCTGAATCGACGTTATTTCTTTTAGCGCGCGGGACGAAACAATGGAAAAGCTTTTCGAATAATTAACGTGGAATTTCTGTCTGGATGATGGAAATGAGATTGAACTAGAAAACATATTTTTTGACTATTATTCCGATTTTTGTCGTTCTCTAGGTAGAATTATATTTAGATGAAAATATTGTGCTTTACTGTTGCAGGCACAGAATATTTTGGAACCAAGATTTGATTCGAGTTGTGATGCCGAGATGCTTTACTAGCTGATATTTGATAAGCTCTATTGAAAAAGAGAATGTCAGGATAATGGTGGAGAGCTGAACTCACTGCTTTGAACGCTTTCCCCAGCAACGCAATATTCTACATAATTTGAGCTTCAGTTAGCATAAGGAGGATTACCTATCGATTCAGACAGAGTGTTAAGTAAGAACTACAATCTACCCAGAGATGCCAGCGCTTACAGGTCCTTCATCCAATTATTCAATGCAGTAAAGCAACCTTATTTCACTCCACGAGGGAAAGGCTTTATATGTGATCAGTAGTAAAACAAGGCTACCATGGGACCACTTTCAAGGCCATTTGTTGCGGATAGCCTGTGTCCATCAGCAGGAACCATTCTTCCGTTGAAGGAGATGAGAGTCGTTGGCAATGACCAGAGGCTAATGAAAAAGTTTGGTCTTGATTACGAAAAGGTGTATGTACCTATCAACTGGAAGATCAAGATCAACTGAATAAAAAGAGAAGTTATTTTTTTTTCATAGGACAAACTTTGACCCCACTGCGCAATATTGAGAGGCGCAATGAATAATGATCATTATTATGAACTAAGTATGAATTGATAATAATTTGTGTTAAAGGTGAACACAGTGATTTGCTTTTATAATGTATACCATCAAAATCAATTTTTCAAACTTACCAGCTATATTTACATTGGCAGCACTACTAGTAACCACTTGCCTACTGAGCCTGTGCATAGTCCTACACCGATATGTCGCAAACTGGTCACTAAATTCCAAATTATGTATTAGGAGTTCCCCCGATGGTAGCTGATGAAATTTACCATCTGAAAAGAAATCAGCATAAAAGTACTCGATGATTTCTTTTGCGCCAAATTAATAAAATCGAAATCTATTCACACCGCCGCAGTATTAAATTAATAGGAAGTCGGACGAAAACCGATAAGAGTTCAATTTTCCGGAGAACTTGTCAGCTTTATTCAATGAAAATTCTGATTGCACAATTGTGGCTGAAAGAATAGAGGGATGTAATTTGATTTTCCGAACGGCTTATAGGGTTGCTATACGGTTTGCCAAAAGGTAAATGAATACTTTGATTAGTTTTTCTGGAATAACTTTGAGTTTATTTTGAATAAATACTGGAAAGTTTGCATTTATCAAGCTCAAAGTATTTTTTTATCCACCCCTAAGCCTCTAAAATAAATAAAAATATAAAACCGAGGCCTGGCTTATGATAAGACCTCCCCCTATACCATCATGCATAAAATAATGACCGAATACAATGAAAGCGGTTAACCGCGGCGCTACTTTATTGCTAAAAAATATCAGGCGAAAGATGAAAACATCAAAATATAGCTACGGGATCGATAAGTAATTTTCTCTGCACTACGTGCATCTATTATTTTATGAACATTGTCGGACCGCGAGTAGCAACAGCAACAACCGTCCGTCATTAGCTTTTTTTAATTAAAAAATGAAAATTGGAAAGTCAAAGGGGCCGAAAGACTAATCTCGTTACTTGTTACGAGCTCATTTTTCCCTTGTTTTTCTCGCGCTTGCCTGGCGTCGCCAAGTTATTAAATACTCGGCGATGGATGTGTCGGGTATTACAGGTCACGTAATAACAGGATTTAGACGTAAATATTTGTTGAATGGGCTATATTAACTATCGATGTTGGTCTATATCCATGGATTTAGTTATGACTTCTAAGAACATGCCCGATGTGAAGGATGCAGCATCTTAAGATTCTTTTTAGGTTTATTTTTACGTCTTAAATCAGTTGACATCATAAGATCTTTAAATATCAGCCACTTCAGAGTGGTTCCAGTGTTGCATCTTCAAGGTATTCAGAGTCTTGATTCAGAAGCTTTGATACTCCTGAACTCTTTAGGACCTTTCTAGTCCTTGATCCTAATTCATGAGCCTTAAGATTCTACAAAACAAAAAGCTCTAAATCAAGAATGTAAGTCCCAAGTCGATCTTCTGTGTTTTGTCTTCCAGAATGATGTCGTTTCAAGTTATAGTTCCAGGCTTTCACGTTCAACAAAAATCCTGCAGATTTTTCTAATTCAAGTAATTCTAAGCATTTACAACAAAGACAACTGCTGCAGGCATAATTCAAGGAGCAACGCATTCAACTCGCAATATGTATAATAGAATTTAAAAAAAATATACTGAAATTCTGCAATACTTTGAAATATATGGATTACCTTTTATTTCCCGATTTTTTTTTTCTACTAATTACCCAGTTTACGAGGGACAAAGCAAGCGCATTTTCTAGCAAAAGGAAACGAGCAAAGCCGACGAGGCACACACAAAAAACTGTAGCAAACTTGTTGTCGTCGTTTTTAATTAAAGACGAAGTAATTAAAAATTCGTCCGCGATAGATTTTCGAGTAGCAATTAAAATAAAAACCGGGACACTCTTTTAATTACGGATTTTCGAGCGGGTGGGAGGGCGCATTGCTGAGCTCAGCAGTCAAGTACACTGGATTTTCAATGCTGCAGGTCACGATATTATAACCGGTGGCTTGGAATTTTGCATTTTGTTTGTCTAATGCAAATGCAGAATGACAACCGGCGCGATTTCAGCTTAGCCAAGCAGAAAAAATGCACCCGGAAAGAAAAACATATTTTATTCCTAATGATCACTTACCTCCTTGAAGGGAAGGATAAATATAAAAACTAGGCTCCTGTATCCAGGAAATTATCCTAACTAAATCCTTAACGAAATTTGGCACTTTGCATTTCAACACTGCGGTGCATCCTCTTGCAGCCGGAATTACTTCCACGTCGATTTTAAATGATTGTGTTACCACTAAAAATTGTAAATAATTTCCTAATAGTTAAAGAATTAATTAATGATACTCACCAGCCCTTACTTGCACATCCCTACTAATAATTCGGCCTACGTTGTTCGATGCAACGCATCTATAAACACTACTGTGAATATCTTGTCTATAGGACGCCGCAGGAAACGGCATCAGAAACAAAGTTCCGTTTCTGAGCACCCTTCGGATTCCGGAAACGTCTCCCACCGAGGTACCGTCGACGCTGAGCCAGTCTATCGAAGGCTGCGGACTTCCCGAGGCCGAACAGTCCAACCAGCCGCCGCTGGAATTTGAAAACTCCAACCGCGGGGGTGGTTCCATGACGAAAGCGGGTCCTCGTAGGTGAGAATCGAATCCCTGGGCATTTACTGTAAGAAAAGAAAAATATTTGTATGGCTATCTTGAAACTTTATTCAGAGTTGCGGATTGTAACCAGTAAGTTGAAAAAGTTTCTCTTATTTTTCTAAGGTATTTGATGTTAATATTTTTGCTATATAAGTATCTTTGGGACTTGTTAGGTTTTCAACAGCCTCCTTTGGAGTTTATTATATTTTTATTTTACTACTATGAGAAGACACTCAAAGCTCTCTTATTTTTATCAATCCTGTATATTGTTACTTATACGGGTTCGCAGATAAGTGAGAATACTTTTTCGAACTTTAACGAATTTTATTAAACACAATAACATAAAAATCACACGAAATTTAACACTACTTTATACTCCGAACTACTCCAAATAAAGCTTGATTTGGAAGTCATAACTTTGTAATTTCTCTAACCAACGCGCTATTTGACCCTCCGGATTTTTGAAATTGACCAGCCATTGCAATGCGGAATGGTCGGTTCTAACTAGGAAATTCCGGCCATAGAGAAAGCTGTGGTAATGTTCAATAGATCTTACTACTGCCAGAAGCTCCTTTCGGGTGACACAATAATTCTTCTATGCATTTCCAATGGACTTACTGAAGTATCCAATTACTACTTCTTCGCCGTTTTGAATTTGGGAAAGAACAACCCCTATTCCACTTTGCGAAGCGTCGGTGTCTAACATAAATAGACAATCATCCCTGGGATACGCCAGAACTGGAGCACTAGTCAATTTATTTTTCAGCTCCACGAAAGAATGTTGACATTCAGGTATCCAATCAAAACGAGCGTTCTTTTCAGTTAGTTCATGTAAAGGCTTCGCAATCTTCCAAAAATCCTTGACCAACCGGCGGTAGTAACTGCAGAGTCCCAGGAAGCTTCTAACTTCATGTTTATTCTTTGATCTGGGCCAATATCGCACAGCTTGGACTTTATCTGGATCTGTCTCTATTCCTAGGAAGTTTACTTTTTCCTGGAATAGGACACAGGTCACAGTTCTTGGGATTTAGTTGCAGATTGGCACTTCGAATCCTGGCAAAAACTCCCTTCAAATTCGACAGATGTTCGTCAAAATCTTTGCCAATCACCATGACATCATCCAGATATACCATGCACGTTTCCCAAGTCAGTCCTCGCAAAACTAACTCCGTCATTCTTTCAAAAATGGCAGGTGCATTGTGTTTAAGATTAAATAGGGTAACATTATAATTAAGTATAATAGAGAATTCAAGGTAAAGCAAAAATCCGAATTTTTCTAAATTTAAAGCTATTTTAAGTATTTATGCGCGAGAACACTGTTTGCCCCTTCCAGGTCTTCATGGAGCAAAAGGAGAAGACACCATTGAAACGTACGATAAAAATCATTATCGGTCAACGCGTGAACCAGTTAAAAGGTACCAAAAAATTACTGATAAAACCGCATTCTTAATTCGCGTTCTGCACAAACCTAAAAGACTCTCAAAACTTCTTATCGATTAAAACCGTAATAGAGCAAGAAAATAGTGGCAGGGTACCCTGGGAAGCCTAAGTTGGAGCTGTGCACATTTTGGAAACAAGGTAGGCAAACAGTTCCGATTTATTTGATTCTTACTTTGCAATACATAAAATCCGCGAAGCATCTTCAAATTGTGTTTTTATTTTTAACATAAAATAAAATGGTCCTTCGACGACGGATTTTTGTTTTGCCTTAAAGTTTTCTAGAATTTCTAATTAACAAAAAAAAAAAACAAAACAACGCACTAGTCTCTATTGTTGTAATTATTTAGTTTAGTTAAATAAAATTGGGCCGACAATTTTATTCAAAGAATCCTTTCAAAAATATAATTATAATTTATCCATTTTATTTTATTATTAATTCCAAAATTCTGCTAATTTCGATTTTGTTTATAAAACTGAAATGGGTAACGAAGAGAAATATAAAAAAGCCAAAATCTATAGAAGTGTGGAAGTGAATCGCATTAATGAATTGTTAACGATTGCCCAAAATTCTCTTACGGATAATGGTAAGCATGGTAACTTTAAAAGCCGATATGAACATGTAGAAACTGTGAACGATTCTTTCTATAAACAACATAATGTTGTTTTGAATTACATGCCAGAAACTGATGAGGAATTCGAAATTCAAGATAAAATTCGACAAGAGTTTGATAGCAATTATTACACAATTAAAGCCATATATTTCCAAATTTTTGATGATAACAATGACTCTAATTCCTCTACTACAAACGCCGTAAATATTTCCGCGGGTTCATCAGTACATTTATCAAAGCTTAGTTTAGTATCATTTAATGGGGATGTAACTAAATTTACTTCCTTTATTGACGTTTTCGATGCATTAGTACACGCTAATCCCAATCTAACAAATATAGAAAAATTTTCTCACTTATTATCCTGCCTTGACGGCCCGCCCAAAAACCTAATTCAATGTTATCAGTTATCCGCCGCAAATTATATGATTGCTTATAATGCCTTGCGTAATAGATTTTCTAATAAACGCATTGTTGCTACCGCGCATTGGCAAGAAATCGACAATGCCCCCAGCCTAACTGGAGATAATCCGCATATGCTTAGAAAGTTAGTAGATATTTTCGTAGAAAACCTCGCCGCTCTTCAAAATATGGGATACCCTGTAGATCAGTGGTCTTTTATATTGGCACAAATGGTATTGAAGAAATTGGATGCTTCTCTGATTTCAAAATTTGAATCACTTCATGCGTCTACAGATATGCCAGCCTTCAATGACATCATAGAATTTCTAAACAAACAATGTATTGCTCTAGAAACTGTTTTATCAAATGCAAATGCAACTTCAAATTACAATTCACGCACTAATAAAAAAGCCACAGTGCCTCAGCGCACATATTATACCGAGCAACCGCGAATTTCTAATCCAAACTCTGAAACCTACCCCTGTATTTTTTGTAGGCCAAATAAACATTTAATTTATAAATGCCCATTTTTCTTAAATAAGTCGGTAAAAGAGCGTTATAATTTAACAAAGCAAAATAAGCTTTGTGCTAACTGCTTAAGTACCTCACACGCTTTTAAATTTTGTAAATCTACATCTACTTGCAAACAATGCAATCGCAAGCATCATACATTATTACATGATAACGATTTCGTCCAAAATAGAGGCTTTGAACAAAATAATCAAAATACAAATTTTCAAAATAAACAGACATCAACGCCGCAATATTCTGAATCATATTGTACAATGACACCGCATTCTGAAAATATTCCTGTTGTGAATTCAATTTGCAATGTAGCTAATACATCAAATGTTCTACTCTCTACAATTAAATTAAACATACAAGATAATCTCGGAAATTTTATTGTAGCGCGCGCTCTAGTAGATTCTGGTAGTGAATCGTCGTACATCTCTAAACAACTATCACAAAAACTAGGACTAAAATTAAATAAAATATCATTAAACATACAAGGTTTGGGTGGTATGCAAAAGCTGGTCAGTGGAGGTACCGTCGAGTGCTCCATTAAACCCTTAAATAGAAATGAGCCGATTTACGATTTTACCGCGATTGTTATGGACAAGCTATGTTCTGAAATGCCGCATTTTGATTTTTAACATAAAATAAAATGGTCCTTCGAGCCGCATAATCCAAACGGCATGCGGTTAAATTGATATAGGCCGTTTCCTGCAGTAAATGCGGTCTTCTCTTTATCCTCTTTATCGAGCTCCACCTGCCAATATCCACTTGTCAAGTCCAGGGTTGAAAACCACTTGGATCCTGATAGGGTGTTAAGGGTATCATCAATCCGGGGTATTGGAAAGCTGTCTTTCTTCGTAACGTCATTCAACCTTCTATAATCCACTCAAAACCTGGTAGAACCATCCTTTTTCGTAACTAGTACGACCGGCGATGACCATGGACTATTAGATTCTTCTATGATGTTGTTCTTCAGAATTTCCTTAAGCATGGTGATAACTTGCTGTTGCTTTGCGAAAGGGAGTCTTCGTGGTGGTTGGCGAATGGGTGTAGCACTTCCTGTGTTGATGCGATGATCTACCAAATTAGTTCGTCCAGTAATTTTATTAACACCAGTCTCTTTCTGCACAAAGTCAATAGCTTTCTTCTTTTCTTGCTGGCCTAAGTGATTTCAGCTCTTTTCAAACTTCTCCAGAAGCTCTATTGATAAATGTGCTTCATTTGACACAGGCTCCTTCTTTGCGCATCTGACTACTCGTATAGCTGGAGTACATCTGCCAATGACGTCTCCTTTCTTCAATGTCATACGGTTTGTTGTTAGATTGGCTACTCTCACTGGAAAAACATTGTTGGAATTCACTAAGCAATATGTCACAAGTGTTCTATTCTGCATGTTTCCTGTTGGTTCCACGATCATGGTGTTCACGCCTTCTAGCTGTTTTTCTAGGTGTGCCCGCACATTCGACTCACTATTTCCAGGAATTCGTGTATCTTTATCAAAGATTATTCTAATTTGACAGTCCTTATTTGACGGTGATGAGGTGAGTATTTCTTCGTTGCTCACTCTCAACATTCTATTTTAAAAGTCCACTGATAGGAAATTAAAGGTTTCTAGGACATCCACTCCCAATATAAATCCATCCACTATGTCAGCAACTATCACTTCTACCTTAAGTTCGGTGCTGCCTATTTCCAATGTCACGGTGGTCTCTCCAAAAACAATTATCAAATCTCCCTTAGCTGTTTCTAGCAGTGGTTTATTTCTCAACATCATTACAGAGTCCTTAGAAACCTTGTCGGGGCGAACCACTGATCTTGATGCCCCTATCTCGATGGTCAAATCACATTTCTTGCCGTTGAGGGTGCCTTAGGCAACTAGACTTTCACAATTCTTCTTGATGGAGAACACCCTTACTTTGGGGGCTCAAGAATCGGTGGTCGCCAGCATTCGCCCTCTTACACTGGCGAGGTGGCGTTTCCCTGATGATGTCTGGAACTACCTTCTTCCTCCGCTTCACGATCCCCTGAGCGGGAACGTCGCCTACAGTTTCTGCTAATATGTCCTTCTCGGCCGCAGTTGTAGCATTTGATCTGGTTCCTGGCTTTTGGTTCTTAGTCTAACTTCGCGCAGAATTCCTGAAACAGCACCTCCAGTTTTAGGAACATATCTGCGTCTGAGTTTGGGCGATCCTCTGCTATCTTCACTTCCCTGATCTTGCTTATTCGATTTAAAGAAGCATTTTTGGCAGCTTCATATTCCAATGCATGGACAACGGTGTCAGCTAAGGTGTTATGCCTACTCATCCTCAGTGCTTGTTGCAGGTCTGTATCTTTTACTCCATCGATAAAGTACTGGACATTTATCTGTTCAATGAAGTCTTCAGGAGCTTGTGGATACGCCAATCGCACCATTCTCTCGATGTCGCTACTAAATTCCTGCAGTGTCTCAGATGGACTTCGGACTCTGCTTTTGAGTTGACTCTGGTTGACTGCGATACCTGTTTCCTAACCTCAGCTCTAAGGCTCCTACGTCTCTCTTCCTGTTCTTGCAGAATTTTCTGGAGCCGGTCTTGCTCTTGCTGTCGCTTGTCCTCTTCTTCCTGTTTTTCTTTAAGTCGCCTGTCTTCTTGTTCTTGAAGGATTTTCTGTAGTCGGTCCTGTTCTAGTTGTCGCTTGTCCTCTTTGTAGTCGGTCCTGTTCTTCTTGTTTTTCTTTTGCTCTCTTCTCGTCCGCAAGTGTCAACAAAGCGAGCACCTGGTTTAGCTGTTCTTCCATTTCGGCAGTCTGTTTTCCCGTATTTACCATAAATGCAAATTTCTTCACTTACTTATCTCACTTTTGACACCAATGGGGTAGTATACAAGTGATTTTTCAATACTGCGTAGTGATATACTCGACGAATCGTACTATTTAGTGTAATCAGTTGCTTTGTAAAAACCGCAATACACTGGAATTTCGTTTTTTAAATTTCCTCTTAGCCCCGCCCTTACGTGAAAATAAAAGTTCGTGACGTAGTTAGTTTTTCCAATCTGGCAACACATCACGGTTTTGAGAACGCACAATTTGCACTGACAATGACCGTCAAGAACGAAACGTCAAAGCTACTACATCAAACAACGTAAACAAATTACTGTGACAATGTCACATGTCACACGATTCACACGACACCACACGTCTTTAAACTGTTGGAGACAGCTGTCGTTTAGAGGCATTTTGAGCAGCGTTGCCAGATGGTCAGCGGCTTGAATACTATTGGTCGCCGCTGTGGCGCTAAATTCAAATTACAGTTTGTTTTTCTCTGACTAATTCTATAGACACTATGCTGGAAAATTATTTAGTATCCCACTATACCATCACCATTTAGCCTAAAGAATAATGTCGAGCAGTTTTTTCACTGATTTTCATACATAGTATACTACCCCATTGTTACTTATACAGGTTCGCAGATAAGTGAGACTAATTTTTCGAACTTTAACGAATTTTATTAAACACAATACCATAAAAATCACACGAAATTTAACACTACTTTACACTCCGAACTACTCCAAATAAAGCTTATACGGCACTATTATTTTCGAATGTGATTATTTAGTTCCCGACTTTACAGTTTACTGCACTTGTCATACGTCAATCAGAACTGATGCTTACGCGGTGCGCACCGGGGCTTTCATAGTTCTGTGCGTCCTTCTCTAACACGTTCGCGGGTTTATAACAATATATTAGATTATCAGTAGAGTCTGTTTGATGGTTGATGTGGCACAGGGGGTGTTTATATCAGGTGGAGGATTCTCATCTTCTAGTCGCAACCTATCGTCCTGACTATCCCATTGCTTTTCTACGAGTGAGTCGGGACGAAAGGTTGCGACTAGAGGATAAGAATTCCTCCTCAGGTCTGTTCTGCAGAAATCACAAACCAGTCAGAGCGAATTTTATTGGTTGAAAACAGTCAGAAAACTAGTTTGAACCAATGAAATTCACTCTGACTGGTTTGTGATTTCTGCAGAAACAGACCTCTAGAAACCCAAAGTTACATAAAACAAAAACGTGACCTACACAAATGCTGAAATTACTCGTGCGCAAATTCAATAACCGCCTAAAATAAATTCATCCATTATCCAATTACCGACCTTTTCCACCTCAACAACGGAAAACGAATTTACAATGGAATTATCCGGCCGCTGCTGGCCATTTCGAAACTTCTTTGTTTTTGCATCGGAACAACGGACCTACCTAAATTGAACTACATATTATGGCCTTATGTATTATTTTCCGAATCGTCGAAACAAGACCAATTAAACCGCCATCGCTCTATAGAAACGAATCAATAAATGCTCTCTGCGAGGTGACAAATCTATCCTTATTCGGATTGCATAATCCTTGCACAAACTAGCTCAATTATGGTTGTTCAACAGCACTCCGCGGGTGCATCGTTCCAAAGTCGCAAGCTAATTCCGCAATAAAGCCTAATTGACTCTGGTTTTACTTCAGGAATTGAATAAAGCCCGGGTGATTTTACAAGTTTTACTTTA